GTGGATGCTGCATTTTGTGGTCCCACTATATACCTGTCCACAACTGCAAGGCATCCAGTATACTATTGCAGAGTAAGGGGGTCCTTTTTGTCCTTTGCTGACCATAACATTTGTTGTATTTTTGTGGTGGGCCTGAATACTGCTTGTAGGCTGTGTTTTTTGAAGTGTTTCCCCATGCGGTCTGTGACCCCTTTGATGTATGGCAGAAATACTTTAGTTGTGGGTGGCTGTTCTTCTTCAGTTTGGTGTTGTTTTCTCTTTTTGATGGCTCGTGTGATTTCATTCTTGGAATAAATAGCCATTTGCCTGTAGGGCCCATTTCAGATGATTGAGTTCGGTGCTGAGAAATTGAGCTTCACAGTTCTGATTTGCATGGTCTACCAGTGTTTTGATTATGCCTTTTTTGTTATGGGTGGTGGCTGGAGTTTTTGCATAGGCACCGGTCTGTGTGGGTGGGTTTTCTGTAGAACTTGTGTCCCAATAGGAGGTCAGGTTTGCGTGTGACCATGGCATCTAAGAAGGGGAGTTGCCCCTCTATTTCTTTTTCCATGCATGGTCATAGTTTCATCCAGGCTTCAGAAATTATATTGTAGTTATAAGTTAGAAATCTGAATCTGGAAGCCCTTCCTCTTAGCCAAGGGAAAACAAATCAGGCTAACAGTTACACTACAATAAAGATGTGGAAAATTCTCACAAAATAGTTATCTTCAGTGATAAGGATGTGAGGCTCACAGCATCTCATGCCCAGGGAAAATGTAAGAAAAATACCACTCTTTTCTTGGCAATTAGATTGTGATTTTTTTTTCACCTGAGAAATCTTACAGGAAATCTTTGGGATGTCTTGGAAGTTTCATGGTCATTTTTCCTTCTCGAAGAATCATTGAGTATGAAGCGGCTTATAAGACCATCAGGTCTGAACCCTTCTCAGTGCAGGAATCTAAATTATAGCACATCTGATGTATATCTGTCCAATTTTTTCTTGAATTCCTCCAGCACAGCACTGCTCACCACGTCCTGAGAGAATGGGTTCCATTGCCATATTGCTCCCACAATTAAGACATTTTTCCTGATATGCAAACAAAATCTGGCTTCCTGTAACTGGAGCCTATTGTTACATGTCCTGCTCTCTGAGATGATCAGGAACAGATCCTACCTGTCCTCTGCATAACAATCTTTCAAGTCTTTGAAAAATTCTATCAGTCTTCTTTTCCCAAGACTACACATGCCCATTTCCTTCAGTATTTCATCGTAAGGCTTGGTTTCCAGTACCCAGATCATCTGTGTTGCCCTCCTCTGAACTTACTCCAGTTTGCTGGCATCCTTCTTGAAATTCTGTGTCAAGAACTGTGTCCAGCAAGCCCCCCCCAGCCCTTTTTGTGTAAGTGGTGGCAGTCAGTGACCTCATACTTCCTGACATCCAGCACAAAAAAAAAAAAAAAAAAAAAAAACAGCCCTTTTTGTGTAAGTGGTGGCAGGCTGTGACCTCATACTTCCTGACATCCAGCACTTGCCACACACTGCTTGCTCACCACTGCCGCTGCTACTCTTTGCCCACCCGTCTGCTTCCAGCAAGCTGCAGAGTGAATGGAAGGGCCTCTCAGCTCTGCTTTTATGCTCTGCAGATGGACAGGATTGAAGCCTTCTGCATTCCAGTCCACATGCCTGCAGTTTTTTTTTCTTCAACTTGTAAGCCGCCTAGAGTGGTCTTAACCAACTAGATAGGCGGGAGGTAAATAAAATAAATATAAATAAACTTTTCCTCTTGGGAAGCCAATAGGAAGTTTCTCTGCCAGCCAATAGGAATCTGAGAGTGCTCTGTCGGGGACTGTGTGGGAGCCACCATGCTGCCTCCAGGCCCCTACATGGCTCTCCACCAGATTCCTGCCACATCTGGGAACCGAAGTAAGTCTGGGTCCCCTCGTTTTGACATTTGCGAAGACTCTTCAGTAGAAAAATAATTATTTATCCTACTTCTGTCTCGCTTCCTCATTTATCATCATAGGCCCACCTAGACTTAATGATCTTTAACCTTGGCATGAGCAAAGGATTCTGAATCTTAACAATTACTTTACGTTTTCATTCATATTGTAAGGATATAGAGAAATGCTTCCTGGGAAATAGAACCGCCACACTTAATGACTTTGCACATGTTATGATCTGTGGCAAAAAAATGGTGTAGATTTTTGGAAAAGATGATAGTTCCAAGAGATCGTCATGCTCAGAGCTAATCCACTTACCTTGATTCTTGCCAAGGCCATCCATTGCAATTAGAGATGGGCATGAACCTCAGTTCGGACGTTCATGCTGGTTTGTACCCATGGCACCACAGATGCCGTTTGTTCCCTTTCCCCGTCTCCCCAGCCAGTGACCCACTCACCATTTGGAACATGCTCTCCTCCTCCTCCTCCTCTTCAGATGTTTGACCAGAGGAAAAAAGAGGAGGAAAAATACGTATGCACACATTTTATTTATCCTTTATTTTAATCTGTAGGCATGAGGGGTAGCATTTGCATCTAGAAAAGGGGGACTAGGAGAAAAAGCATATATTTGTGCTCAGTTGTCCATAGCCACTGCGAAATATATGTATTCAAATATTATGTTGATATTTTTAAAATTATTATTTACCCAACATGTTACATTTCTAAAAGGAGCTCTGTGAAAAAATTGCATAGCTAGGCATATATTTCAGAAGCATCTTTAGCATAATAATAATTAAAATCAAATGTGAGTTTGCTTTAATATTGGGCAAACTTCAGTCAAAGGTATGGCCCTAAGTCTGTGGATTCTTTTACGGCTGAATGAGATGATCTTATATGGTTCCATGTCATAAATATGCTGAAGAAGGGGAGCATGCCTCTGTTTAGTTCCCACAATGCAACTAACATTCTCTTGTACTCAAGCAGGTTGTACAATACAGTGGTGCCTCGTTTAACGAGGATAATTCATTCTGTTGAAATTGTTGTTAGCACCCTAAGTCTGTGGATTCTTTTACGGCTGAATGAGATGATCTTATATGGTTCCATGTCATAAATATGCTGAAGAAGGGGAGCATGCCTCTGTTTAGTTCCCACAATGCAACTAACATTCTCTTGTACTCAAGCAGGTTGTACAATACAGTGGTGCCTCGTTTAACGAGGATAATTCATTCTGTTGAAATTGCTGTTAGCGAAATCCTCGTAAAGCGAAATGAAAAAGCCCATTGAAATGCTTTGAAACCGGTTCAATGTGTCCCAATGGGCTAAATATCTCAGTCCAGCCAAGATCCTCCATGGGGCGGCCATTTTCGGTGCCTGTAAAGCAAGGAATCTGTCCTGAAGACACAGTGGGGAGCCATTTTGCACAGCGGGTGGCCATTTTAGAGCTGTGGATCAGCTGTTTCAAAATCATTGTTTAGCGAAAATATCGGTTCCCTGCTTCGGGAACCGATCATTCGTTAAGCAGATTTTACCATTAAAACATTGTTTTGCGATCGCAAAACTTCATCGTCAAGTGGTTTCATTATTTAACGAGGTAATTGTTAAGCGAGGCACCACTGTATTAGAATAATATTATGATCACATAAAATTTGGTGCTTCTAGGATCACTCTGAGCAGTTAACTGAAATGGAGTGTCAGAATGAACAATGCACTAGGAATGTATGTGCATTAGATTTTACATATTCAGGCCTTATTTAAACATTGCAAACCCATATGAAGGATGAGTGACAATAAAAACATGACAGATCTGTGGGTGCAAAGTGATGGGAACAAGAACTGTCTGAATTAGCCCCCAATAGTATTCCCTCAACTGTTTGCAATGCAATCATATTTCTTCGATAAAAAACAAGGTAATGGCATTTCATAGGGTCACCATAAGTCAGAAGCAGCTTGACAGCACATAATAACAATAAGAAATGGTGTTGAAATAGATAAAATTATTTTCAGGTTGCTGATATTTTGAGTTTTATCTTCATAAATTTCTTTTTAAAAATCAATGTGTTTTGAGAGCCCAGACATGTATTTGTTATATAACTAGACACTTAATTCCTCGGTGTACATTGCACGTGCAACAACTTGATTTTATTAGCTGGAGGTTTGTTTTAAGAAATAGGTGGTGAGAAGAGGCATCATATCTTTAGAACCGAGATGTTAATGAGAGGAAGGAAGAGAAGGGGGGTTATATAATATTGTTTATATATAAAACAATGTCAGCTGTCTTGAAATCCAAAATGCGAGGCTGGAAATCAAAAAGCTGCTCCTCGGAGATGTGTAAATCCTCAGTCCATGGGAAGCACTTGATAAGTGATTAATAACAATTAATAAGCATTCTAATGAGACTTGCATAATGCCCAGGGAATAAAAGCCTGTGTAAAACTCAGGGAGTACAATTATTTAGAAAGCTTTCCATCCTTTGTTAGCCATTTGTTTTTGTGAAGCGTCGTTTTGAGAATAGCTCATTGGAAATGAATACTTAAGTCTTTACTCATTATTATTCAGTTAAACACTGTGTGGGGAACTTCTTATCAGTGCTATCAATGAAGAAAAATCGGTGTGATTAAATCCACCAACCAAAGTCATGTCCTGCTTAAGATATTCTTTTAAATAAATAAATAAAATTACATCTGGAAAGAGAATATGAATTTGCCAAAATAAATCCATGAATTAATATCAAGGTTTCCCCCCCATCCTCTGTGTATAATAACCAATTGATTGCACTTAGTGTTTTTGTGTATTTTAGTTACTAAGGTATATCAAAAGACATTTCCTTAATAAAAACCGAATTTAAAATTGTTAAGTTATTTTTGTTTTTGCCTTTTTAAAGGGAGTATCTGATTATACCGCTGGCTGTGCTAGTTTCCTTTATCAGTCTGAATACAAATTGTGCTTTCCTTGTGTGTTCAAACTGAACTATGAATCAACAGGGCTTGGATAAAAGCACAAATGTTGAGGAGGGAAGAAATGCATGTTAGAGGCATTCCATGTGCCATTTTTTATCACTAAATCGCTTATTTGTCTTTTCAGTTGCACACAGACTTGGATCCTGGAAGCAGCAAGATCAAGTATATCCTGTCAGGCGATGGAGCTGGGACTATCTTTGTGATCAACGACAAGACAGGGGACATTCATGCAATGAAAAGACTCGACCGGGAAGAAAAAGCCGAGTACACGCTGACAGCCCAAGCTGTCGATAGGGATACAAACAAACCCCTTGAGCCTCCCTCGGAATTCATTATCAAAGTCCAAGATATCAACGACAATCCACCGGAGTTTGTCGAAGGTCCATATCATGCAACTGTTCCAGAAATGTCCATTGTGGGTAGGTATGGAAACTTAACAGTACCAAAATACTTTACAATCTGCAGTTTAAATAGAGAGCAAGAGCAAATTGCTAATGAACAGAAGATATTACCTTTCATTCCCACCTCACATTCGCATTTGCAAATCCATCCATGACTAACACTTTCAATACTTCCAGCTGCTGTGAATATTGAATGGTTACCCTGGAATGTCTTATTCGAACAACCATTTGTATTCTGGTCACAGTGTGGCAGTGAGACTAGTGCCTCTGAAGCCTATTTATCAAGATTTGTTCCAACACACCACTATAAGTCTATTGATATTTTGTTGATGTTTAATTATCTGTTGATGTGCATTCTTCTATGCAGATGCATCATTTAGGATACGTGCCTACATCGTTGTTTATTTTTTCCTCCCTCCAACTATAATTAGCTAACAATGTTACAAGGAAATATGTTATGTCTGCAAGCTAACGGTAAGGTCTTTGAGTGGGTTTAATCAATTATCTGTTTGAACTGAGCAAAGGCAATACAGACGAGCAGCAAAAAATATAAAAAAGGAAGAAGGGATTCCTTGCCACTCACTATTCTCACCCTTATTGGGAAGAGCTCGGAGCTCAGAAAGAGACTCATGGGTTGTGTATAGGAAGACTTTGGTGTGTCCTTACTGTCGGCTCTTTAAAATATATGATGTCTGTGGAAGAACTCAAAAAATGACTGCTGGTTTTGACCAGAGGTGGGGAACATTAGGGTCTGGGGCTGAAACCAGCCATCCTATAGGCTGAACTTGACACTCAGAGATTCTGCAGTGGGCCATACCTGCTTCCCTGTAGCATCATAGCTTGGTGGCTCCCCAGTTTTCACATAGCCCAGCTCCCCATTCTATGTTTGAAGCAATAGGCACTTTAAGCTATGCTAGATGTGTATTTTTGGTCTCTTGTTTTTGCCTTCAATCTTTAGCATCATGAATGACACTTCTGTATGCCATCCTCCGCTCTCACATGGTGGTGCTGAAATTTCAGGAAATGGGATGCTGCTGATATGTCAGCCCTAAAAGGGAAAATTACATGTGCGTTCTTCAACTCTTTGAAAAACATAAGAGATGGATGATATTAGGTGTGAATGCAATCAGTTCTGTTTAAATCAGGACTGACCTGCCCCCAGTTGATGTGGAAGTGATTTGAACTGATTTGTTCTTGGGCTTCTGAAAGTACTTGCATGTTTCAATATCAGGAGGCAAGGGGGGAGGACCTGAAAGTGTAGAAAATTGAGGGCTGTGAGATGGAATGGGGTGTACTAAACAGTGTCATCTCCTCTGGTCATGTGGTAGACCTTCAGTTTGCTGTCAAAGCTTCAACCGGTTTCCTTCTTTGCCCTTCCCAGGAAAACAGGTGATGGAGGTGTGGATGGAGTTTCCTTTGGGTCTCCTGTCAGCAGCCTAACTTTCCCAAGTATGCCCATTCACTGCCTAGCCCAGATCACAGGGCAGCCCATTTCTCACCGGACAGTGTAGTGAATACTAATCGTGGCTATGAAAAAGTAAGAACATTTTGGATCACACCCAGTGTAAAAAGCAATGTACCACCATCTCCTTGCCATGCATGGATGCAAAATCTTGTTTGCTCAGTAAAGCAGCTTGGGAATAAATAGAATCCAGTGAGATCAATCCAAGCCTGCTCCAGGGCTCAGCAATTGGAGTGTCCGGGAGAGGTTTGGTCTTCTGGAGGAGCTTAATTATCAATATTCTTTTACTTTCACAGTTTCTTCTTTTGCTACGGCAACCAGCTAGCAAGTATTGTTGTTGAAGTGTCGGCATCTTCAACCTCTAAACATTCAGTGATTTCTAGGGGTGCCCTAGCTGATCTAAGCAAAACTGGGGGAGGGGCTCTTTGAACTGTCCCACATCTGCTCCAGAAAGATACAAATATCTCTGCCTCAATTCCTTTTAAAGCTTTGTTTTTATTTTGTGCCTGAAACTGGAGCTCATCCCTAGATAAAATTAAATAAAGAATGTATTCATGCACTAAAGGAGTAGGTTGTCAGGAACCGTCCTTAAACAACATTTGTTTAGATTGTACATAGGAGCTCTTAACTAACTGTAGCATGCCTTTGTTTGGTTTCATTTTGGGATGGCCAACAATGGCACTTTTCGTAATTTCTATAAAGCTGTCAAGCCGAGCTGCTCATAAATGTTTACTTGGAAAAGTGCCTGGACGTTTTATTGCCATCGTTGCATCCTGTCAAGGCTCTGAAAACAATAGACTGTCCTATTGCAGTTTTAAAACTGAACTACAGCCGTACACATTAGTGTAAGAGACTGGAGCTGTCATTTTGCTGACAGCCAGTACAAACAGTCATACAAAGCTCCCCTTCCATTCTAAGTCAATTGGGCCCAGGAGCGCTTCTGGAGTTAAAATTGGGCTGGCTCGTAAATTACAGCACTTTCTGAGCTCTGATGTCTTAGCTCCTTTAAATCACTTCTGCTGAAATTGGCATTGGAGTTCTCTACCACCATGTCAGCTCCTATGACCCAAATGTGGTTTTAATATGTTAAGCTCCTTAATTACACTGGATGGCAAAGACACGGAAGGCCTGGGGTTGAGATATTTATAGTTTTGCCAGTTTCTTGACAATAGTCTGGAAACACTCATGTGGACCAAAGTTCTCGGAGCCACAAACAGAAACAAAGGAAATGTTCAGTCCTGCGTCAAAATGATAATAAAGCCCATGAATAAATGTATGCAGGATGGGATGCCAAACATAAGAAGAACATGCTGGACCAGACTGTTTGTTTGGTCCATACAACTGTTTTCACTAGTGGCTCATAAGATGCTCCGTAAGAAAGCCAGTGAGCAACACATGAAGCCAGCTACCTCCTCTTTCCCTATTTTCTTTCCCAGCGATAGGCCTAATAAAATTTGTTAGTTCTTAAGATGCTGCAGAGGTCTTGGATGTTTCATTGGCAGACTTCCCCTGAATGCAGCAATAACTCTGAGTGATCGTGAATGGTTAATAGTCAATGATAAACCTGTTCGCCATGAGTTTGTAGACTGTAAAATAGAGATGGGGAGGAATATAAACAGATCACTTTTTCCGACAAATATAGCCAATTCGTTAAATATTCATCAATCTGTTTTTGTGGGTTCCAGAGACCTCCATGAATACGGAGGGATGAATATTTACCCATTTTTATTTGTCATTTTTATTTATTTAAATAAATAAAAACAAAACACCATTCTGCCTCCTGGCCGCTGATCAGCTGATCGGCAGCAGAAAGGCAGCCACCACCCCACACAACCACTGAATACCACAACCTACCCCCATCTCCTTCCTTTCCCTAGCTTAGGCCCCATGCCTCCCACCCCCACCCCCACTGACACCCTTTTACCTTAATAGCTGCTGCCAAGTTCTCCTTCTGGCCTCCCAGCCATGACATGTAAAAAGGAGACAGTCTGCCCTTTGCAAAGATGGTGGCTATGGCTTCATTTAAGGTAGGGAAGCTACAGCTGCCATCTTTGCAAAGGGGAGCGTGGATTCTCTTAGTTTGCCTTAGCAGATTGGTGGCCAGTAGGCAGAATGATTATTTATTTATTTTGTAATAGGAAGGGGGCGGCAGGGTGCTTTTTTAAAAAAAAAATAACCCTCCAATGAATCAATGAATAACTTCGTTATTCATTGCTTCATGGGGGCAACTTAATGCTTTGTGAGTAAAACTTGTGATGACTCACGAAGCAGATGACTCGCCAAAATGGAGAGTCGTTCCCATCTCCAGTCCTCACTCATCCTCTGAATGTCCTCCTCTGGTTGTAGGCTGAGGCCTGGTTCCCCCAATCTCAAGGTATAGCTGGTAAAACTGTTCCAGTTGCCACCTGCAATGCCAGTGATGACACTGAACTTGAATTTAATGACACTGGCTTGCAGTGCGGTAGGCAAGTGAGAGGGCTGTCTGCTGTTCCTCCTCTCCTGGCACTTTTCTAAGACATCCCAGTGCCAGTGCAGTACTGCTTGCAAGTGCTACCCTAATGGGCTCCAAGTTTAGCCATTCTGAGTGTCTTTCCACTCATTGAGTTCTTCCTCCTCCTGGTCCCCTGATGCCTCTGCTTCCGGAAGCTTCTCTGACTGCACCCCTACCACTTTATCCTATTCTCTCCTGCTAATCCCCTATGTGATCCACTTTTCTGGGTCAGTGGATCCCTCCTTGCATTTTTCTCCACTAGCAATACTCAGCCCTCCTATTGGGTCACCTGTGGGTTGGTCTTGAGGTGGGCTGTTCTCTAAGGTCTGTGGTTCCCAACCTTGAGTAACTGAGGTGTTAATGGACTTCAGCTCCCAGAAATCATAGCCAAGACAGCTTGTGGTGAAGGTTTCTGGGAACTGCAGTCCAAGAGCACCTGGGTTTCCAAAGGCTGGGAGCCACTGCCTCAGGTGATGAAGAATGGTCAACTTACATTTCTATGTGAAATAATCCCAGGTTCAAGTAGAGGGCAATGAAGTCCCAAGGGCACTGTATGGTGGTAGTTGCAAGATGTGATCTGGCCTAGTTTCCTGCCACAGAATTAAATATGCAAAGTCTACTCTATGACAGGGATGTGTAAACCCATATCTTTAAGACTGAAAGCACACAAAAGCCTTTGACCTGAATGGACTTGTCAGTTTGGGCCTTGTGGTGCAGTGAATAAACTACAGTACTGCAGCCAAAACTGTAAGCCTATCCATTTCAATTTCATGCTTCCCACCAGTTGCTAAGCAGATGGATTCAAGCAATCTACAAGAAGGTCATAAAGACATTGCACTTTTTTTTTCTTTCCCCAGCACTGGTAATTCAGAAGATGCTGAAAGAACAAGTAAAAGACCATGTGGTCCCCAAAGATCACACAGAAGTTAGAGTGGATGATACCTTTTATTGGACCACTAAAAATCAAACAACTTCCAAACTTCCATTGAGAAAATTCCATTTCTGCAGGCTTAGCACAGCCCCTTCATGGATAGCACAGAAGATTGTACACAAGTGTCCAGAAAT